CTTTTTATTTAAGTAAAAATAGATCAGGGAGGGTGAAGTAATTGTTTAAAAATTGCTTCTAATCAGATACTGCTTTTTTCATAATGTTTTTAATCTTTTCAGACTTACCTTATTAGGCAACATTTCTAGTGTATTTATTCACTTGCTTAACATGCACCTAATCTTCCTGAGTTATTGGGATGGAGACACGAGAAGAATGATGATACTTTTTTCACATAGCCGTGTTTGCCATATTGCTTCCCTCACTGCTTGGAAAAGGGCACCAACCTGTTCAGATGGCTGAAACTAGGGATGTTTATAAAGCCAGGCAGGTTAATTGGAACGGACACCAGCAGAACATTTTTCTTCGGAGGCTGACGCACCTGGTTTCAGATAACGTGGAGGTACTGCTTTCACCTGGAGTGACAAGTCAGCTTGCTGAGTTTGTGTTACCTTGTTTTGAGCTGCGTGGCTGACGCAAGTCGTAGGAGAGGAGCACGTTTTAGGAAATGTTTCTTCATTGGTACGGAAATGAAATATGGAAAGACAAAGAATCTCTGGGTGGTTTATCTGCTTGAGTCAGATTTCAGCTGAGTGAATGTTTTGCAAAGGATGATGTCAATGGCTGTTTATCAAAATTGACTTCCTTTTTCACATTTTGAAAAAAATGTGAACTAAAGTAGATAAAAATACACAGGCTTAATTTTCAGTGTTTAAAGAATTTATATTTGTTTTAGTAATGATTTTTGTAGTGTATAAATAAGAAATATGAGATTAAATCTATGCCACACAATTTTTAATGTTTAGGAAAATGAATAAATTTGTTTTATCATAATGATGTGTGTATAGTTTTGTCTTAAAAGGCTAGATTTTATTAAAAAAAAAAAACCACACCAAAAAACAATCCAACCCTTGAAACTCTGTCCAAGGCTTGTTTTCCCATCTAATGAATAATAAACTGCTTTAGGTTTTACTTTTAATAAGGAATCAATATCATTTTTGTACATGTAAAATCAAAACCATTCCTGAGTAATGAATGTCATTCAGTGACAATTACCTGACTGTTTCTTCACTGTTTTAAGCCATAGTACTTCAGGATTATGCCTTTAATTCTCAAAGTCCAAATTAGGTGCTTCAAGCTGATCAGGTTAGAACTGTCATGTTGTATTTCATATTTGATTTTATTGATTCTCACTTTGTTTATTTCATCATACTCCATTGATAGCAGCGTGCTGCCTCTGATTTAATATCTCAATAGTATTTCAGCATTTTTGTTAGGATGTCTTTTTTATTCCAAATCATAGAGGGTTGAGCTGCGGTGGTGGATCTAACATGCTTTTAAATTTATTCACTTATCACAAATTGATATTAAACAATTAATTTTGAAGTTTTTATAAGCTGAAAGCTCATTTTACAGAATTGTTCAAATACATTTCAATTTTTGTGTGATGATATAAAATTATTTATAGAACTAAGGTATAAGGCAATTTCAGTGTACTCTGAAAAATCCGTTAATAAAGAGTACGGTTAGGTAAGCTTAGTATCATCTGACTTCTGGGCATTTCTCAATGAACTGTTTTTTTATTCTGCTCAGACACTATTCTATTTATGTAGGCTACATGGTAGAGTTTTAAACCAGATTTAACTGCATTTCAGTAAGTTAGTATGTGTTAAAATAAAATAGAAATTCATGTGACGAAAAGAAGGCAAATTGAATATTTTGATTTCAATATAATAATGCTATGTTTTTAAATTTACTGTTAATTTCACCTTTTTTTCCCTTCCTTTTTTTTTTTCTTTTCTTCCTTCCTTCTATCTCTTCTATAGTCTTATTTTTCCAGTATTTTCTTTGCTGGTAACATCCTATATCAAATTATCATGTAAGCAAATGAAGTGGAATATATTGATCTGTCAATAGACTTTTAAGAAGTAGGAAAGTGTAATATATCTTGGTCATATTAATGCATTTTTAGTCTATTAAAAGATGAGCTGGTTTAAATTAAAAATGTAAATGCATCCGTGAAAGAGAAGGGAAATAATGAAAGAGAAGGGAAATAAGATGTCTAATTCATGGCACCTTAGATTAAATAAAAAGGAGGGAAGGGAGAAGTTTGCCAACTGTTTACAGTCTTACAGATGGGTACAGAGACAGCTCTTTCTTGTGATTGCGTCTGAAGCAGAGCTCCCCCACATTCACAGATGGTGATAAGGCCTGGGGCAACTACACATTTTTGCATAGGTGGTTTATGTTCCTTTTTCCTTGACCACGATGCCTGTCAGCAGAGAGATTGCGCCAGAGGATGCTGTATAGCTTAGGAACTGAGATGACAGCTGCCCGTCAGGAATGAGAACAATTTACACAGTATACACTCTCTCTAGGTTCAGAAATAATCTTGCATTCTCCTTGCTATAGAAGTTCTTTCATCTTTCCATGGCATTATTTTCCTTCTCCACCCTATGGATTAGTTTGTCGATCTATTTACTCTGTAGAAATGGGACTAAATAGGTCTGAAAGCCTAAGTTTGTTATTCTGCATGGAAGAAGCATGGTACTGATGTGACTCAAATTTCCTTTTGTCAGCTCCTGAGGGAAAAGATGATTCTTGTGTGAAGTTTTTTGAACTGATTTTTGCTAATTCTTGGCAATAAAACCAAGACACAATTTATGTCTGTCAGAAGTGAGTAGAACTTAATTACGAGGAGAATAAAAGCAAGTTACAACTTCTATAAATACCTTCCCCAGTTCTGGGGCTGTTTTTATGTAGTGACATTGCCAGACACGTTGGTAGTACTAGTGAAGAGAGAATACAAAAATGCAGACTAATAGCGTTACTGCAACACGCTGGCAAGATAAATGCCCAGCAAGAATAAATGGCAGCACTAAGAAGTCATTGCCACTCTCACTTCCTATGCTGTTTTCAGTCTGGATGACATTTTGAGCACAGTACTTGCAGAGATTATTTTTTTTTTTTCCAGGAGATAAGAAACAGATGACCCACATCTGAAAATTACTGAGATCAGCTTGCTCATATATACCTTGGAAATTAGAGCTATCAGGTTTTTCTACTTGTAAAATGTTCTCTGATCTGCAAGGTAATTTGCTGTAATTCAAAGCTGGTTAGGGTAATATTGGGTGCGTTTGACATCCAGGCAACAAAACCCTACTTTCTTTCAAAAGCTATGCAATAATTTTGTTAATCTGGAATTTGGTTTTAATTACTGAGATAGCTGTGGTAACATTTTTATCTCCAGCAGCAATAGCAGGGCTTCTAAATCATAAGGATTTTAAATATTTCTTGGAAATTTATTTCTAAACAAGAAGCAGCCCAGTGTGCATATATCTTAAAAGTACTGCAAGTCACAGGGATTTTTGTTTCAGACACTGAGTTACAAGAAATGTGTAGAAGTCATAGAAATTTGGAATGAGTAATTTGAGGAAATGATGTTTCTCATCAAAAAGATGATCTTTAAGGTGCTTGAAAATGTTTCCTCTGTCTTGTATGCAAAATCATGGTCTGTCCTGCAGTCGTCATAGCTGTTTGGACTTGTGTTGGCTTGTGTAGCCTCACTGACACCACCAACATTGTAGTCTCACTCGATGGCAGGTTTTTTAAGTGCCTTAAATGAATGGTGTCTTAGTCGTGTTCCTGACGGAGGGAAAAGAGAGGAAGGCACAGGGGAAGCCAAAACTTAATTTCTGATATATTAAAAAACAATCTGCTCGAAACAAACAACAACAACAAACCCTCAAACCAAAAACCAACCCAAAACAAAGTAACCCTTTAAGTATGAAACTCAAAACACCAGGTAAAGCACATGGACAGGGTACAAGCAGTGCCAGTGCTGTACTGGGTGATGTGTGAAGATGAAAGACGTGTTCTTGAAAGATTTGTAAAACATGCCTCCTTTTAGTATATTCTAAATACAGCTGTGGGCAGTGGTTCTCCACTTATCATCTCTTTCTAAAACCTTTTGTAAGCTTCCGTTTCTCGAGGTTCTTAACTTGCAGCTATTGAAATTAGGAGCCTTCATATTAACAGCTTTCCTAATTATTAATTAATTAGTTTAGTCTTTCTTTTCAGTTATTTATTTTGTGGGTTTTAGTTACTGTTCAATTTATTTCATAGCCACTGGTGTGCACTGTGCTTACTTTCATTCCATCCAGTTTGAAGTCTTGGCATATTCATGCATGATGGACTCCTATAGAAACCTACAGTCTATTTCTCAATGTTCCAAAGGGAAAATTTAAAAGCATAACTAGATTATCCCATTGATCTGCTGAGAGAGTACAGTACTGCTGGCAAATATTGTAAATATGTCTTAGAGAGGATGTTGTAGTGGTGTTTCATCTCCCTCCCCCTCCTTCTTGTTTTTTATTTCAAGAACTGAACAATTTTATCTTCAGTCATCTATTAGATTGATGCATATTTAGAATCTGAAATTACTGTGGCATGGAAATATGTCAGGGCTGAAATGACCTTTTGCACTCCCATGAGGAAGATGCAAAACCAAATTCTTTGGTCAACATAGCCTTACCATACGAAAGAAGACTGGTAAGACTGGGTACTGCTTCTGGGGAGTGTGGGCAAGAGACTGTACACTTTCATACAGATGCTCTCATAGATCTGTCTCCCTTTGAGTATGGACAGTTAGTTTTGACTGCCTGAAAAAAATTGAAGTAACAATGCTTTTCTTTATTGTAGGATTGTTTAATGCTTAAAATATTCTTTACTCGTCCCATAGAAGCATGAAGGATATGCATGCTTATCTATATATACATCAGAACAAATCATTTTCCTTGAAGTGTTACAGAAACTGTTCTAATCTTTTGTTTTGTTTCTCCTCCTCTGAGCTGTTGAAAATTTAAAACGAAAGTATCTTTACCTGTAATGGATGTTTATTGTTGCTATGCCTAAAAAGCCCATCTAAAGAGCCATATGCTTAATTGCAGTTGATTTATTTATAACTTCAATATTTCTGGTGCTGAGTTTGTTAAAGGATTTTTTTTTTTTTTTTTAATAGGTAAAGACAGAGTTTTCAACACCCCCTTGTGTGAACAAGGAATTGTTGGCTTTGGTATTGGAGTTGCTGTTGCAGGTGCTACAGCCATTGCAGAAATTCAGTTTGCAGATTACATTTTTCCAGCATTTGATCAGGTCAGTACTAATAAATTTGAAAGAAATAAAAAGAAATTTTATGACTGTTTAAATTAATCTTCTGTTAGCATTAATACTTGGTTTGAATATGCAACTTTTGCAAATGTGTCCACAGCTGTATTACTAATATTTATGCATGCTTTAAGTAAACAGGAAGGTACCAAGGCCAGTTTTTGAAGGCTGATTAAGTCATGGAAATTAATGTGGGTTGAAGCAAATGTCTCTTTATTTTTATTTTTAGTTTTGTGGCTGTGTTGGCTTCAGCAGCCTTTAATTTCTCGGCTGTGTCTTTCCAGCACCATCTCACTTCTCCGTGGTCCCGCAGCCAGCTGTGTGTCCACAGGCCAAACTATAGATTTGAACTGGGCTGATTGACAGTATGGCAATGAGGAAACAAATGGGCTATAAGACTATTCCTGAGGCCTAGGTGTCTGACTTGAACTCACTAAATTATTGCCTTGTTTGCCTTGGAAAATGTTTGCCTTTCCACTGACTTACAGGATTCCTTTGCTTCTAATTTGGTCCTCTGAATTCCATGCATGGAGCAGATGATGTAGATAAATTTCATGTACTGTAGAGCCTTAATGATGCATAACTAAAGATATTGGACTGAATGTTACTTTTGTATATAAATCTTCCCAGATTGTTAACGAAGCGGCAAAATATCGTTATCGCTCTGGAGATCTGTTTAATTGTGGAAACCTCACCATCAGAGCCCCCTGGGGCTGTGTGGGTCATGGTGCACTATATCACTCTCAAAGTCCAGAAGCTTTTTTTGCTCACTGTCCAGGAATAAAGGTACAGTAAGTCTTATTTTATGAAAATTAATTTGCTTGTTTGTTTTTTAATGAACCTGACTAACAATGAGTCTGGGTGCAAGCAGGGGAAGAAGAACGAAAGTCAACAAGAAATCTGATTATATTAATTAAAAACTCTTCTAGAAGTTTTCAAATTATAAAACTTAAACTGTGTTAAGTTTGAGAATTTATAGCTGTCATTGAAGTGATCTTTAGACATAGCAGTTTGTGTGCTTTTTCCTCTAAAAGTGTACATTTTACATTTCTTCTGTGTCCTACATAGTACAGAAACTAAAAACTATCACTAATAAATAGTACTTTCTTCTTTTTTCTATCTGCCTTTGTTGTCTTAAGTGCATTATCAAATTCAATTATATGAATGACAATGATAGGCAATGGGCACAAACTGAAACAGAAGAGGTTCCATCTAAACATAAGGAAGCGCTTGGCACGGATTTCCCACAGAGGTTGTGAAGTCTTCATTCTTGGAGGTATTCAGAAGTTGTCTGCACATGGTCCTGGGCAACTAGCTCAAGGTGGCTCTGCTTGAGCAGGAGGATTGGACCAGATGACCTGTGGAGATCCCTGCCAACCTCAACTGTTCTGTGATTCTGTGAGTGACAGCGTTAGGCAAACTCTCTGTGTGAGACAGTGGCATCCCTTGAAGCGAAGATTCCTAGCATTTAGATGGATAGCTTTCCTGGGGAAGAGGAAGGGGTAGGCAGGATCCTGATAGTCTCAGATTAAGAAAGCACTGTTTGTTAGCTCTCCATCTTTTCCTGAGTAAATTTTTACCTATGGACTTGTACTTCTGGGTTGACTGGCATCCAGCCCATTAAGAAATGATTCCTAGCTTGATTAATGTGAAGGATTTAAGCAAAACCAGTATTTGTACACTGAAGACACAATGTTCATTGTTTATCTGGTATGTAAACTATTGTCTATCTATGATTTTGGTGTTAAAACTTTAGCTATAACTCATTTACAGGGAGGCCATAGCTGTTTCTCTTTACTTAAAAGAACTCCTGTATTATTCACATTTTATTTAATGATATTTGAGAAATGGAATGCATTTTTGTCTTTGGATGTTCTTTATGATCTTTGAAGTGTTTCTATTCTGAACTTGAAAATATTTCCTGACACAGACAAAAAGCAATGTACAGTCTTTTGTTAGATAATTGAATCAAAAGATTTCTTGAGCTTGTTTAAAAACAAGATTGTTTATTATCATATGGAAACATAAGATAACTTACATGATTAAAATACTGATGCCAGGTCTAGCTTATTTATGCTGATCTTGTTGGTCAATATCAAATCTTTATACTTGAACCAAGACCTGAGATTTAGTGGTCCACTGTGATTAAAACTCTTTCTAATTCATAGCAACCTAGTACTACTGTGCTTAGTCTTCTCAATTTCTTTTTTCTCCTCTCTGATCTTTCTTCTTTTCGATTTTTCACTTTCTTTCACTTTTCCTTGAGTAAAATGCTAAAATAGATTGCTACCATTAACAGCTGTCATCTCAGTTAAGGGAAAGGGCACATTGGATTCTGTGGAACTGATGGAACAATGTACTAGTTTTTGATGCACAGAGAGGTATTTTAGACTCTACCTTTCGAATTTTGTATCTTTGTGAAAGTTGTTCCTTTAATATTTTTTTGCAAAGCTGTTCATTAGTTCAGTTAATGTTTAAGGCTTAATCTTCAAAGTTGCCAGTCTTTTTTTGAATGAACCCAAACCCAGCCCTTAATGTGTGAGTTCAGAAACGCAAATGAACTTGTAGTTCAGATGCATTTGCAAAAGTCCCATATCGGTGCGTATTTTCTCCAAATTACAGGAGGAAGGGCCATGTGTTACAAGCTGGGAAGTGTAGGATTGATCTTTGGGGAGAATGGTTTTCAAAACTGCCCTCTTATTAAACTCTGTGTCATGTTTCTGACTTAAGATTTTTATTTTGTGTTTTTCTTAAGTGAAAGGAGAGGTTTGGATTTTCCAAGTAAAAGAGACTTTGCACAACTTTGGCTGTTCAGGGGAAGGACTGTAATCATTAGTGCTTAAGACAAGGCTTGTTGGGGCGATGAGGACATTGCTAGATGGTTGTATGATCTATTGTTGTTAGGATGTATGTCTTGATGGATCAGACTGTCTTCCAAAATTACTGTATTGACTCTCTCCATTCCATTGTAAGATTGCTCCAGAATATTTGCCATCAGAGCTAGAAGCTTTCTTTTTCATTTCCAGCCTAAACTTGTTCCTAACTTGTATATTTATCTGTCCTTCATCTTCTCTTTCATATACTAAAGAACAATTGTTTTCCTTTAGTCTTTGTTTTGTTAGACTAAACAATTCAAGCTATCAAAGAGATATTAACAATTTCTGAAGTTCTTTTGGCACCTGTTTCATTCATTTTCTTTCTAAATGGTGGATATATTCGTGAAGTATTCCAGCTGAGTTTCTAGCAGTGATTTTTGCAATAGTGCTAACACTTCCTTGGCTATTTTATTATTATTAGGCTTTTTTAGGGCTGTATTGCATAGTGTCCTAATTATACTTTGAGGAGATGATAGATTCAGATCTGAACTTCTACTGCTGAGTTCTAAATTTGTAACAAAAATGTAGTCCTTAAATGTGTGACTTTTCATTATGTATTTTTCAGTTTGCTTTTGCCAGTCATGTCCTTAATGTGAACTAGGTCTTTTTGGTATCATCCTCTCTAGTGGTAGTGACTCTCAGCTTTTGAATAGTTTTCAGTACCATGTTGTGACTTAACATTGTAAATGAGTAAGGTAAATAAAGTCTGTCCTAAAAATGATCCCCAAGGAGCTGTGCTAGTAACATCTATCAGTTGGGTAATTTCCAATGTGTCTGTTACCAAATGCTTTGGTGAACTGTTAATAGACTGCTTCTCCCTCGTTTAGAAAAATCACTTATCAATTTAATTTGATGCGGTAGCAGATTTAGGTTGTGTTTTGACTCTTTTCTGTTACTTTTATATAATTAAATGTTCTTACACTCAAAAAATACTTTGAAGACTTGGAAACTCCTGGAGGCAGTAAATTAACAAGTCTGTAATTACATGGATTCTTTTTTTCTATTCTCTATAAACAAGTGCTACAATTAATGTTTTCAGTCGGAGGGTGCTGCTTCTAATTTCACAGCTATAAAAATGTTTACTGGTAGACTTCATGGTGCATGTGCCAACTCTTTGAGATCTCTAGGATCTAGCTGGTCCTGATTTGAGGGAACTGAGCTCTTGAGTTCTATTTTCATTTAAACTGTGATAATTTGGTAATTTTTTGTTCATAATCAATATTCTCTTAGATAATCCAAAGTTAACTCTTCTGTTGGCAAACCAATTATACTTTTTCTTCCCAAGTATTCAGATTACGCTTGGAGGTCTTGCTTAGTTTTCTCTTTGCTTGATAATAGTTTCAGATATTTTTTCGATATTTGTTCATTTTCAAAATGAACAAATTTCAGGCTTCCACCATAAGCAAAAGAAGTCAACTTAAAATAGCTATTTCCTTTTTTAGTCTTCAAAACTTACTGAACTAAGTCTGAATATGTTCCAGGCCTGCTCTGATGAATCTTTACCCAAGCAACTGAGGATCACTCAGCTGAATTTTTTTGTCATACATCTACATTAATTTTACTAACCTAACATTTAAATATTTTTTTTTAACCTGACTGACTTTCTTCTGTTCCTTCTACCTCAAAATGTTATTGTTAAGATTTTAGTTCTACCTTATCAGAGAGGAGTCCATTAGTATTTAAATCATGGTGTAGAGGGGAACTATTCAAGACTCATGAATGAACAAACTGAAATTCAAAACTTGGAGTGTATGTCAGCAACATAGCAGTGATATTAATTCACTTTGTAAGAACTGCTCAATCTGTATGTAGTTTTATTTAAAGCGAATAATTTCTTGGGTTTTAATATTAGTTGAGGAAGCTTGTAGCAGAATTGCAGTTTAAATAAACTATTTGAAAAATATTTTTTCAGATTGTTATTCCAAGGAGTCCTCTTCAGGCCAAAGGACTGCTGCTGTCATGCATAGAGGACAAAAATCCATGCATATTCTTTGAACCTAAAATACTTTACAGAGCTGCAGGTAAAGATTTATATGCTGTGTTTTCCAATAAAGCAACACTTTTTGATTTTTTTCTTTTTTGCACATGTATGTTGATAGTCACAACTGAAGCAATACTGTAGCAGAAGTCTTGACTTCTACTTGTTTTGTCTTTAGCTATGCTTGGGAGTTGTGTTTTTAGAGGAATTGCGAAGACTGAGGAAGATCTCTAAATTTGGCTGCAAAGGTAGACGAGCATTTACAGCATGCTCGGTTAACTTTGAAAGTGGAATGCCTTGTACAGCCTTAGGTTAAAATAAATATATAAATAGAACTAAGAAGCATTATCCTGTATCAAAATGTAATATAAATCTGACAGAAGTTAAACTGCTTTCTTACTGATTACTCAGGATACTAAAATAAGTTTCCAGATCAGTTTATTTTTCCAAAATAACTGAACATTACCATCACCCTTTTCCAAAAGTTAAAATTTCTTTGAAGTGCTTAATTTCTAAAAAATCTTTAAAATCTGTCCCCTCAGATTTTACTCTTATGTGGACGTGTGATTGCCATTACTTTTTTCATTTGCATTAGTCATAGTGAACTTTTTGGTTCAAAGAAGTTTTAACAGCTATTATTATGTTTAGCATATAAGAACAGAGTAATTTGAAGGTGATAGTGCTTGAGTTGGTTGTAAAAATTAGCTTGTTGCTTCTTTGGACTAGAGAAACTGAACTGAGAACAGATTAGGAATGAAAAAAATTTTGCATGTGGAGATAGGCAGAGGGATTGGGTGAGCAACTGATAAAATAGAATTTAAGCTATCACTTACCTTCAGCGTTTCTATGTCATATAGCTTTATATACCAACTATGCTTGAATCTGTCAATCCAATTTATAGGTTGACTGAAGGAGAAAATGTTTATATTTTACTTTGGACCTTTTAACAGCACTTTTCCATCAGTGCACCCATTCTGTTAGTAAATTTATCCTCTTCCTAGAGAAGAGAACTAAAAAAATAACAAGGGAAAGATTTAGAAAGCAGATATTAAAGCTACCAAAGAATAGCAGAATAATTCAGGAACAAATAGGATGTTTACCAGTGAAACTGCTTATTTGCTTTTATATATTTTCGAAAAAGACCCAGAATTCCCATTAGCAATGTACTTTTAGAAGCGCAACTATTTTTAGTGTGGTGTGATGTACCAAAACGGTATTGCATTCCTTAAATTCAGTGTGTTTTGAGAGCTTACTGAAATTTAGCAATAAAGTCCTCTGACCCATCAGTTAGATGAAGTGGTTTGGAAAATGAACTTGAGTCTGAGAGTCCTGTTAAACAAAGAAAAAAAAATGGAATTTTAAAATTCCTGTGTCTTTAAAACAACTCTTTTTTTTGTTTTCTTTAGTATTTATGGGTCACAAATACAGACTGTGGAGTTAATACTTGCTTTCATAGTAGAATGAATGGCTGCACATCAATATCACACAGCTTTTGAGAATGTAGGGAGGTTTTTGTATTTGAGGAAATGACTTGTAAAGCAATTGCTGGATCATCTAGTGTACATAAATCAGCCTCATGATTGAAATCTTGAGTAAAGATGTGCTGAAATAGTGGTTAATGTGGTTTATGTGCTGGTCAATAGCCAACCTCAGCATTGCTGCAAGATGATATTGGTAGTTTCTGAAAGACTGTGATTTCCTCCTATATTCTGATGGCCTGATTTTCAGAGAAATTAACTACATTTTTGTCGTAAAATTTCTAAGAATATTGGTTTGATCTAGGCTGAAATTTATAGTACATTTATGTCAACATATGATAGGGAAGATTGTGACAGGTGACTCGTTTTGAGGTAATTTTGAGTGGACTTTATTATTTCTTCAGTATAAAACAGGAATATTTTATTATGTGGAACGGTCTTTTTTTTTTCTTCTTTCTTTATTTTCCCATTGAAAACCTTTCCCTCTGGCATCATTAGTTCACCTTCTTAACTATTTAGCTGTCCTTTGTGGGTTTGGTCAGCTTGAATAGGAAGAAGAGTGGTGTTTGGGAGTTTCTCCTAGAAAATTAATCTCTTGTAGAGTTCCTTCTTATGCTGCTGGCCCTGGTCAGGGTTTCTTGTAATTCCACCATAGAAATGAAGTGGCCTGGTGAATTCAGAAATGGACCAGGGTCATCATGATTGATTCTTTGGTCCAGCAGCAGCAATAAGACACATGCCTGATAAACAAGAACAGGATAAATTGTGGAAAGAAGGATTTTAAAAATGCAACTGTCTTGTTTTTTGAGTAGAGCAAATTTTTATAATATCCCATATGAATGTGTTGATTCGAGCAAGAGAAAGAAGATAGTGCAGATTCAGAAATTTGCTTACACAGTAAGCTTGAACTCTATATGTATTTCTTGTCTCTTTCTGTTAGTGTCTCAGAATACTACAGGGTCTTCTCAAGGCTGGAGACATGCAGGCTTTCTGAAACAAGAAGACAAAATGGTATCGGATGTCCTCTGTTGCTTTATTTACCTCTATATTTTTTTTTCTTTTTTGAGGGGCAGGATGAGAGGAGTTAGTTATGGATTTCTACCAGAAACTGGCACTTTGACATTGATAAATTTTTAGTAGAAAGACAGGATATTAATGTATAATATAGTATAAAACCCCACCCAAGGTTTCATTGAATAATGAAATTATATTTCCCCTACTATAACATTTTTTTGTTCAAGATTCATGTGAATAGATATGTTTGTTGCAGACAACTTAATGACTGATGTTACAGTGGATGTGTAGGGACTTCACTGAAAAATTAAGATGTCAAAGACAATAATGGGAAGTAGTATTTTCTTTCTGTAAAATTAATGTAGGCATTTGAGCTTCATCATTCTCCTCTGATGGAATTTGCTTTCTCCCTGTGTAGCCTCTAAATAGCTATCCGTGATATTTTGTTCAGTGTTAATCTTTGAAATTTCAGCTGAAAATAGACTGTAGATGGGATAGCCTTTAAAACACAAGATATCTGTCCTTGTTCATGTGGGTTGAAGTGACTAATGCTTTGTTTAAAACAAACAAAACAAAAAACCCAAACCAAACAAAAACCAGAAAAACCCCACACCTACTACACCCAAACCAACCAGAAAACTATGCTCTCTGCTTCTGCCCCCAAGAGTTGCTATTATTGTTGAAAGTAGCTGTTGGATGCTAGTGTTGAAAGATAATACATATCTAGCTTAGGATGTATAATGTGAAGTTGCTTTTTGAGAATGTTAGGCAGGGCTTCAGGTCATTGCTGTTTTATGGAAGCTCTTGTGCAGAACCAACCTTGTGATTTTGCATCTAATGCATACCTCCAAGGAGCTATATAGACCCACCAGTTGCTTTCAGGTTTTGTGTTTTGGGTTGTTTGTTTGTTTGGTTTTATTTTTTTTTGACTTGTTGATGACAGGGCAGGTTTTTCAAGATTCAAGAATGGTTTTTTTTCATAACAGTAAAGACATTGTACAAAAAAGGAAAAAAAAAAAAGATAAAATCTTTGTGTTTTGAAACATAAGTGTGGTCTCCAAGGTAAATCAGAGCTGTAGCACAAAATATTTCAGTGTGACAATCACCTGAATATTGTGATTGGAATAACGAGTTTAGCTGGATGTCTTCCCAAGTGAACACAGATTTGCTTACTCAAATGTGTTGGATGCTTATTCAGGCATGAGGTAAAACTAACCATATTATTAAATGAACATTCATTTCTATGTGAGTATTTGCTATCCAAACATGCCTTTGTCCACACAAAACACAGGGCCTTAAATCTTCACCTTAGTCATCCTTAGGAGAAAGGTGGATATTGAAATAGCATTGCCTTAAGTTCACCACATTCACACTGTGGTGAACCGAGGAGAAAAGACGACTTCCAAAGCGAAGAACAGCTTTGCAAGAACATCTTGAAAAGGTTTTCCAGTTAATTCAAAAAGTAACTCACGCCTTAGATATCCAAGAGCCCTTGTAACACAAAAAAGAGGGAGTGAAAGCTAAGATCCTAAACTTTGCCTGGGTGCCTGTTAATAGTAAGTTTTAAAAGTTACAGAAGAGAACTATTGGTTTTAAATACGGTTGGTAAGTTTCATATTCTGTATTAGGTCTGATATGCAACCAATTTGAAATAATCCCTATATACAGATACATGTGTTTATGTATAGATATATATTTAACATGCTATCTATGTGCATATGCATGTTTATATAGATAGATATGTACGTAAAACATATATGAAAAAGCAGCAACTAGATAGGAAAAGAAGCATGCTTAGCATGTGTAGTTGTAGCTAGTAATTGCAGGTTTCTTCTTCCTGTCCTCTGAAGCAGCACAGTGCTGTGCCTGCGGCGAAGCCCACAGGCAGGACTGCCCGTTCCTCTTGCACAGTCACCCCTTTACTAGCAGAGGACTTGCTGTTCCTCAGTGTGCCGGGGCTCTCGGGAGTGCTCACCCTTACTCCTCGTTTACTTGCTTGGACAGTTCTGGCAGTGCCATCACCAGTGGGGAATGACAGTGTTTCTCCCCCTGGGCAGCTCTTTTCCCTTCAGAACTCTTGAGTGGAGGATCTTAGCCACCGTGATGAGGCACAGGGCTCAGTCGGACAAACATGCTGACCTCCCTGTTTTGTGTGCAACTGGCCCCTTCTGTAACACTTTCTGTTTGTTCCCCACCTTGTTCCTCCCCAAGCCCCTTCACCTTCACCTGCCCTCATCAGCTGGTGTAGTTCCACACACCTCCCCGAACGCTCTGGGCCCTCAGGTTTGCGTGCGTATCAGTTGCAAAGTCCTGTTTTGCCACAGTGCCTTGATAGCCCTTGACTCAGTGTGCTTGACGAGGTTTATTTCTTGTCTTTGTCTCTTATGTTTGTCTTCAGGTTTGTGTCTCTGTGTATGTTGTTTATAGCTTCTCCTTTTTCTTTATCATTCCATTTAACAAGGTCCTCCATCAGATAATCTTATGGAAAGAAACACTCCTGCATTCCTCATACCCTTATCAATAAGTGGGACTGAGCAGGTTTGGTTCTTGTAACTGCCTCCCTCGTCATTGGTTGGTTGGGTTTGTGTCCCTGCGTGTTCTTCCTTATGGCTTCTCCCTCTTCCTGTTATCCCCTTTTGCACTGAAAAGGTCTGTGTCCAAACACTCTTAAGGGGGCAGCTGCTCTCTCCTTCCACATAACCTTACAGTGGTCATCAGAAGTTTTGTGTATGTTAATTTGTCTTGTATAAAATTAGAAAGGAGCAAAGAGATGTAAGCCTTTCTGGGTAAGAGTCCAGAGTTAAGTATACAAGTACATGTATATAGAGAGAAATCTGTTGCTGGTTAACTTATGAGGTTATAACGTTATGGAAAGTGCCGTGGTGACGTCCCTCTAAATGTCAGAGATACTAAGAAAATATCTGAATTAAAAAGAAAGAAGAGGCTTTGATTTATAAAAAGTAGTTAACAGCCTGTGCAGTGTCAAGAGCACATAATGATTATGAATCGAAGGAGATGAGTCACCTTGACATTATCAGGTTTAGACATCTTGTGGAGAACCTACTCTGATGTTTTTTGACCTTTTCAGTTTCATTTAATTGTACTATATATGACATTGGTGGTGTAGAAATAAATACGACTTGCATCAATGGTTGTTATAGAGACAAGACAGGTAAGATGAGAAAACATGTGTTTTCTTTCTGCTGCTCCGACTGCTCCTTTAGAAAAAGTAACAGATGGTGCAGCCTTTAAAAATTAACTTGTGATTGCCCTTTTTCTCTGATAATTGCAACTTTTTGTTAATTGCTTTATTTGAAATCTGTACTCGAAATACTTGGTTTAAAATATTTTGTATATATCTTCAGTAATAGATGAATGGGCTGCTTTGTATATAAACATTATTGTCCTGGTTTGGTTAATTATTATGGAAGAGTATGCATGAATAATTTCATGTGCTACTTTTCATCATTGTTAATGGAGGGAGGAGTTTTTGCAAAGGCATTTGAACAAAATCCTGCCAAATCTGGACTTCCTTATAACTTTTTGACAAGTTGAATTTTGCATTTAAAAGTGTCAGGAATTCTAGATGAGCTCATCCAATGGATGTCTTGTTGAAGAATGGTTTAGCTGTAATAAGAAATTAATTTGTGCAATTATATGTTATATTTAATTTCCCTAAGTGGATAAAACCATTACAGAGAGAAGGAGCTCTTTTTGTGTCATGTACACCTTCCAGTCCTTCCTCTGGTGCATCCCACTGTCACTTCAAAACCTGCTCATTCATGTCAGTTGCCTGGGTTTCCACTTAAAGGTCCTGTGGCATCTTTATACGGTTCTTGTTCTTCAGGTTTCATGTAGATGACAATCCCATGAAAAAGACAAGTTATGCAATGCCAATTAGTATAGTTGCGAGTTTTGTTATCTTTCAGGAGCTCTTCTTTCTTTTGCCTGAAGATTTTATTATGCGCAAAATCCATAGAAGCCTGGTCTGCTTTACTGTTAACCAGTGATGTGCAGTGAGCAAGGGATGGATGTGCCTTTCCCCTCTTTTTCTCGATATTCCTTTAGCCACTTGTTATTCGAAGAAATTATTACAGGAAGTCACTGATAGTTTAACACATTTAAAAAAACATTTAATATTTTGCAGAGGTCTGATTTTGTGCCATGTGCACCTGGTGTTTAAAAGTAATTTTTTTTTTTCCTTGATTGAATGGATGTGTGTTCTTGACTTATGATGGAAAAAAAGTTCCTTTTTAGTTTTTAGGAAGAATGATTTAGTTAATATGTGTACCTCCTCTGTGCCCGTTCAGGTAATCATAGGCAAAAACTTTTTTACTGTGAGGCTGGTCAAACACAGGACCACATTGCAGAGAGAGCTATGAAGTTTCTGACCATGGAAATACTCGAAACCTGACTGGACGTGGCCCTGAATGACTGACTTGACTCTAGGTGACCTTGCTCTGAGCAGGGCGCTTGGACTAGGTGATCTCCAGAGGTTGCTTCCTACCTCAGCCATTCTGAGATTCTGTGAAATTTGTAGTATTTATATATCATTACCAGACAAAAAAAAATAATAAAAATCATCTGCTGTAATTTAAAAAAATGTTCACCACTTAATTTGTTGAAAAGTTATAACTTGTAAGCCAGGAAAAACCTAGGTCATTCTACTTGTATTGGATCTGCTATACCAATGAAGGAAAAATACAAACCACTTAATTTCTACTAGTATCACTTGGTAGGATTCTTTATCATAACTTTAAGAAGCAATTTTGTTCATCCGGAACTCAATAACTGTGTTATGAATTATGAAATATGTTAACAGAAAAAGTAGAGCAGCTTCTTTATAAATTGGTTTTGTGTATTAAGAAAAAGTTTTTTCCCCTCACTTATCACTGGAATTTATTTTAAGAAGTATTACTTGACTTGCTGGTGCATAGACAAGTTGACCTTTAGATCAAAACAACATTTCTTTTAAAATATGATATACTAATGCCTTTTATCACAGTTTTAATCATTAAACCAGTCAATGTATTGTACGTTGGAGCATTGATTCAAAACTAGCACAACTGACCAAACATTTCCATCTGAAAACTGGTAAATGGGTCTTAAGTTGAGTGGAACCACCTTAAATATCTTAGAGAAGACAAGGTGCTTAATTTCTGTTTCTCTAATTGTGATGTATTTTTGGTGAATAGATAACATTGTTTTCCAAAGCAAAAGTATTTAGACTAATTTAAAGCTGCTATAATCACAAATTCTTGCTGACAATTTGTGTAGGTTTTGAAAACATTTTCCCTCCATTTAGACATAAAACTGTGGATTGTTCTTGCTAGATATCAGGAGGGTGCGGGAACAGCTTTTCCTTCTCATCTGAGTATTAAAGGATCATTTCAAGGCTTTCTTGATGCTTACTAGAATTAACTGTGGCGTTTACTTGGTATTTTTTTATCAATTGTGGCAGTGTCCATCTCCAAATCTGATGCTGATATTTTTACTTGGGGTATACTGGAACATGTATATGAGTATCTTATTGCTGTGGTAGGTAACATAAATTAAATGTTACACTGAATGTGTTTTTAACAGTACAATTAAAAATATTTTTAATTACAGCTAAACCTTTGAAACAAAGGCTGATACTCAATGTGATTTTGGTCTATTGTTTTAGATGATGTTAACATTGAAAAAAAATTTTAGTGTATATTTTTATGGAATAATATTGAATAGTAAAGGAATCTAATGCTTATTTTCCCCTTTGTTTTTATTTATTCAGTGGAACAAGTTCCTGTGGAGCCCTACAACATTCCACTATCTCAAGCTGAGGTGCTGCAGACGGGCAGTGATGTGACACTGGTTGCTTGGGGCACTCAGGTCAGTAAGGCACATAAAAGCTATTCATCATCAAGCAAAGCCTAGGCTGAGGAATATAGGGTAGGATAGGATAGGGTTAGGTGATGTTTCAATAGTGTTGCATTCAGGCTCAAGTGCCAGACAATAAACTGCCTGCATTTTCAATCAGTATATGCTTGAACGTGTATGATTGCCAGTGTTTATATAAAACCTTTTTATTGTGTAAAATTTTACTCATTTTTTGTTGAGGTTGAATCTGGAAATGTGGAAGAGGTACCTGTGCAGGAGGTTAATGATTTATCCGTGATTACGAAAGTGATAAATTTAAGAATGGGGCAGTGAGATGTGACTCTGAAGAAGGTGATGAGAAAGGATAGTTCAAAGTAGTGTGCTGAAAGAAAAATGTAGATTTTTACTGCATGATATAAAAAAGTACAGTCTGGGGTTCCCTTTATACAGAGAGTTAAAATCCACTGAACATGTAAGACAAATGGGGATTAATATAGTTGTGATTATAATAGTTATATTTCAAAGCTATCCAAGAATATGATTGGACACCTCCTGCTGCAAATGAAGATGTGCCAATATTGAAAAACCTGGTAAAAAAAATACATGTTCATTTTCAAGAATTACAGAAAAGAAATTTGAGTGTAGTTCAGAATTACCAGAAAAATATTTTTATTGCCTTTAACCTATAATTAAGAAATTACCATTTTCCTGGGCTAATTATACCCAAGAAGATTTTAGAGGAGAGAGTGTTATAGCTTTCTTCACAGGAGTATTGAATTGATCTTTGAGGCTGTGCCTTTTTTTTGGTTTGTTTTTGTTTTGGTTTGTTTTTGTTTTGGTTTGTTTTTGTTTTGGTTTGTTTTTGTTTTGGTTTGTTTTTGTTTTGGTTTGTTTGTTCGTTTTTGTTTTTATTTTTATTTGAAATCTGTAATCTTCAATGTTTTTCTGTGATAGTTTCCTTGTCCTCAGGCTACTTGATCCCCTTTACCTTTATGGTCATTCCTACTAGTCTTTGCACTGGTGTTAAATTATGGACTCCTTCAAATATCTCTACTTGTACTTGTTTCTCCAGCAGGAAGCAGTTTCTATAGTTCTCCATGTTCCTTTTTGAAAGTGCAAATGTTTGCTCCATTTGGATGAAATCTTACTGTTCATCATATTCCCAAAAATGGAATTGATAAAGTAATGTCTTGAAAGGTGACTATGAAGATTTAATAATATCCTTAGTTTACCCAGTAGGCAGTAGTGCAGAGAGGATTTGGAGTGTTCTGGTGTCCCAGCCATAAGAGAGACATAGATTTGTTGGAGCATGTTCAGAGGAGGGCCACAAAGATGATCCAGGGGCTGGAGCACCTCTGCTACGAGGACAGGTTGCGGGAGCTGGGATTGTTCAGCCTTGAAAAGAGAAGATTTCAGGAGGACCTAATGGCTGCCTTCCAATACCTGAAGGGAACTTACAGGAAGGCTGGGGAGGGACTTTTTACAAGAGTGTCCACTGATAGGACAAAGGGAAATGGGTTTAAGTTGAAGGAGAACAGATTTAGATTAGATTTTAGGAAGAAATTCTTCAGTACGAGGGTGGTAAGACTTTGGAATAAATTGCCCAGAGAAGTTGTGGATGCCCCCTCTCTGGAGGTGTTCAAGGCCGGGTTGGATGGAGCCTTGAGTAGCCTGGTCTAGTTGAGAGGCGTCCCTACCCATGACAGGGAGGTTGGATTAGATATCTCTGAGGTCCCTTCCAGCCTATGCCATTCTATGATTCTATGATTCCTTAAAAAAACCTGCATGCTTTTGAGCTTGGAAAATGTAGGCCAAGTGTTGAGACGGGCATTTCTTCTGATGTGAATAGTAACAGGACAGATGTGCAGCCCTACTCCAAGTTTAGGACCTGACCAAACCACGAGTTTGGCTGTACAATACAGCATGGGGACAGATGCTTAGCATATAAGCAGTAAATCCAGCATGTTCTGGTTGTGTCGGGCTTCTGCAGATCGAATCTGTTCAGTGAGTTTGTGCTGAGGCTGTTCGCAGGTTGTGTACATAAACTTGGAACTTGGTTGCTAAATGTGCAACCAGTCCGGAGTTTATTGTCAATAGGCAGAGTGATCGCACGTACTCACTGGTTACTTCTCTTGTGATTTCGGGCGTTAGGTAGTTGCTTGGCAGCTGCTGCTCTGGTGAGGTTGCCTGACGCTTGCTTTCCTGAGGGGTACTAATGAGAGGCGGTAAAGGCTTTTAGTTCCTCTCCAGTCGTGCTCAGTGTTTTATGATCATTAACTAATCCTTATCCCCTGTGAACTAAGTACGCATTCTCACGTACGAATCAGAGAAACGGCAGAAACGTCCATCCTGTGTGTCATGTAGAAAATTCTCAAACCCTCTTATTACAGCCACTGATGTGTCAGAAGTTTAAAGAAAAACACTGCAAGCTATTTTTTCTTTTTATTATTACAATACTTGTATTGACTTACCTTTTAAAATAGTCCTTTGGTGTTCAGTTATTCATATTTGCATTATGTAGATGCATATTTAAAAAGTCATCATCTTGATTCAGCATAGATTTTTGCTCTATGTAGAATTTAATACTGCTCTCTGACCCTCAGGCAACTGACACTGCCTGACTGTGTCCATATTGTTAAATTTGCCTTCCAGACCAAGATGACCTCATCCAATTGCTTACTGGGCACTGTCCTTGCCCTCCAGCTCCTTACCTATGCCTAGAAATTGCTCGATGATGGTCATCTGCCTCAGTCCAAACCTGTATTATGAAATGTACTAATAATAAGAGTAATAATAAAACATCGGAGTTTACTGACCACAACATATCGAGAAATTCTTTTTTACTTTCATGTCTCATGAGTGAATACTTTTTGCTGAGATATTTCTGGTGGATAATCTGAGTTTTTGTCGTAACAGTTGTGTTTTCTGTGCTGGAGCATTTGCTTGGTAATGTTTGGTTTAGGGAAGCCGATGCTTACAATATGTTTTGTTTAAACGTGTTGTATAACATAGTGTCAAGATAGTTTTGAATGTATGTAGTATTGCTTTCTTTTCGGTTCGTATCATAACATATCTTAGGAAAAGGATGTGGATTGTTTTGCATCTACTTTGACACGCTTACATATATTGCTAAATACATTTCTTGACGGGTGGATAGTGAATAACGTGTTCCAATTCAGCACAGGCCTCTTGCTAGAAGGAAATACTTTTTTGTTTTAGTGAAGTGTTAATTATAATAATCAGATAACGCAACATTTGTAACGTTAGTATCAAACTGTGTTGGAAGACTATTATTGGTCCAATGGTCATATTGTCATATTAGTGCCAATATGCTTTGATTGTAGGGGTCAGGACTGGATGTTTACAGGTAATTTTTTACGTAGTACTTACTGTCTCTCCTAACTATTTATAAGGTAATGTTTTGGAGATGATCACTTGGTAATTTATTGAACTTTCAGTAAATTGTAGTAAATGCAGTTACTAGGGATGTTTTTGAATGTACGTAGTGCTTCTTACAGAATTTCATGTGACTGCTACATCAAAATACATTATTCTGATATATTTGGATCTTAGCTTAGTTACAGTCCTAAAAAAGCCTTGTCCTAAACCCTGAACTGACGACAAATATAAAATAGTGAGGCCTGATAGTGCTCACTGAAAGATACTTTTCCAGAAAGCCATGGTTTTATTTTTAGCGATTCTTCACTGAAGTTAGTTTTTGAAGTGGTGCTAAAATACTAGGAATGATGTAAGTAGTAAATAAGAAGAATGAAAAATGCTTATTACATTACTGAATAAAAGGGCTTCTGCCAAACGTGCAGGCAATACGTTAAATTGCTGCTTGTATTCAATATGTGTAATTTAGAACATCTTAAACAGGCATTAAGTGTTTGCTTGGTGATAATATGTTGCCTTTTCAGGTACATGTGATCAAAGAGGTGGCAGCAATGGCTCAAGAAAAGCTTGGTGTGTCCTGTGAAGTTATTGATCTGAGGACCATCTTACCCTGGGATTCAGAGACCATTTGCAAGGTAAGGAAATGATGCATGTTAATTTAAAAGCACCAGAAAGAAAAGAAAACCACTAATAACAATTTAAATGCGAATAATGATGACTTTGTTCTTTAAGTTTTTTTTAAAGGCCCACATTTTTACTCTATATTGTATATATTATATATTTTTTATTCTATATCACATATGAAGAGTAAATGCACATTAAATGGACCAAACATTTGCTTTAGCATTGAAAGGGAATTATGCTTCAGGGTTCATAATGTTAGAATACATGTTCTTTTCATTGAAGAATGAAAAGAGGGCAGGATTTAATCAGATTTGTGCTTGAAAACTGCTTTTCTGTGATTTCTGGCTCTTTCTATCATCTTTGCTGTCTTTGGATCAAAAATATCACGTGAATTCTTTATCTTTTTTTTTTTTCCTGCTGTCTTACACCAAAACCTTTATCTAGTTTTAAGTCTGCAATAATGTGCTTTAGTTTTATTTATCGATATTTCTAGAAATAAATGTTTCTATTTAGGGTACGTGAATTCTTGGGCTGGTGAGACAAGGCAGCATTTACTATTCTCAGGCTATCTGGTTTGAAATTCATGGATACTGTGCAGTCCTTGTCTGCTTTATGGGAGTCTGATTTTGCAAAGAATTTCTTTCAAAGCACTGGGCAGCTGAAAGTGCAATTTAAATTGCTATATGCTGAGAAACCGTGGGAAGCAGTTATTCTACTTACATATACCTTGGTCTGCTTACCTTTTTTTTCCTCCCATACTGCTTTTTCTTCAGCCGCTAAGAGCTATTGGGAGAAAAGACCTTAAAGAATAACGGAAGGGAGAGTATTTCCCAAAAGGTCTTTGTAAATATAGGTAGGAATCCCAAAGTACACTTTTAAAAATGTAAAAAAGTGTAAAAAAACCTCACACAACAAACCAGCAAACAAACTGGAGGTCATTAAAGTGAAACCTTGTGTCTGGAAAATTTGATTTCCCTGCTCCTGATTATTATTTAACTTTTTTCCTGTTGTCCTGAATTAGCAATTTTTTTAATGCATTTACAGTGCCTGTAATCTTTTTTTTTTTCCGTTAATTTTTCACTTACCTGTTTGATGAGATACTTTTAACATTATAAGTACATGAATAAACTTAGATTCTGCAAAATAAATGTTAGTATTGCTGCTTTGGGAGCGTTCTTATAGACAGGTCTTTTCCATAGCTACCTCATGAAAATTAGTCTGAAGTCTCTTCCATGAAACCATTTTTTGTCAAGCTACTTGAGAACTATGAGAGAAGAGCTGCTACCTGGCTGCCATCCATCAGTACAAATGCTGGTGAACGTGCTTTTGGACTACAGTGCTCCAAAACGCTCTGCAAGTGTTTTTGCCTTTGCATTATTTACAGCATTAACGATTAGAGCAGAGACAAAGGTTTACCCTTCACTTTATGGTTGTAGATCCCTTGATTTAAACTCGGACAAGTTATGTGGGTTAGCAGAATGCTTGCTGCTTTTACTAGAGCTGTGAGTTCTCTTAAGCTGGCAAATCCACAGTCTTGCAGGACTGTGGCTAACAACTCGTTGGGTCCTAATTCAGTCTCTGTACACTAGCTCATTTTATGTTCATCAAATCACTCTGAAACTTGAGAGATGTCTGCAGCGTAGTAACTCAGGCCTAGTAAGTGCAGTGTATTGAGTGAAGATAACCATCGGGATGAGGAAAGCCATGGGCTTGAAAAAGGTGTGTGATTCCATCAAGTACCTTCTCTGCCTGCACTTTTTAATGTAAGGCTATATGGTATCATATCTACAGCTAAGTCAGATTGTACAGATGTTTAAATAGGGTAGATCAGGCACACCTCCTTATCTGACACTCTCTCTCTCTCTATTTGGAGTATCTTAATCCTGTAGGCAAGTGTTTTGTCTTTCTGTAGTTGCTCACTAAGGGAATTGCTCTTGGTCAGGTAAAGCACAAACAGATTTAATGTGATAAAGAAGAGCCATTGGTCTGCTACTCTATGGCAAAGCTTGTATTTCTCTGCAGTATGAATTTTAGTTATGTTTGTCTGAGGGACTGCTGGTGGGACTGGATGGAACAGATTATGGGAGGAAAGATCCGTGTTGGGCATCTGTTATTGGCAGTGTCATAGAATCATAGAATGGTTAGGGTTGGAAGGGACCTTAAAGATCATCTAGTTCCAACCCCCCTGCCATGGGCAGAGAAATCCTTCACTACACCAGGTTGCCCAAAGCCTCATCTAACCTGGCCTTGAACACTTCCAGGGATGGGGCAGCCACAACTATTGTCCTATTGTCCAGTTGTGAATGTGTAACAAGTTATGTACTTACACGCATAGCTATGTGTTGCTTCATATAAATTTGATCTTCTCGGTTGAAGCGTTTTCAGTGTTTGTTTGCAGGGTATTTCATGTTACTTGGATGTACTTTCTATCTGTAAAAAATCCAATGTGTTGAGTTGTTGTCATCAATCTGAAGAGAAACTTTGGCAGTAATCCTTTGCAATCCCTTCTGGACAAGTAAAATTATTCATTTTTTTTTTAGCTTTTTTTTTTTTCCTTCCTTAAAGATTTGAGCTGACATTCTATGAAAATAAAGCTTCTCTTTGAAAGAGCAGTTAAGTCTGTTTCGTTGGATTGGGCCTGCACAGAAACGCCGTCAGGAAAAAATGCAGCTGTGCATAGGAATTGCACAGGTTTAGTTGGACAATGTTTTGCATATCTATACTTTAAAAATAGATATTCAGAGAAGATTTTCAGCTTATGTTCTGTCCTGAACATCTTTTAAGGTAACTATGGCATAAATAAGAAAATGGAACACATAGACCTGTTGCTTTAAATCTATTCATCAGTTTACTATTAAGAGAAATATAGTGCACATTGGCTAGGCAGTTCAGCTATTTATTATAATAGATACCAAATAGTAAATGTTTTTAGCATTGCTCTTGTGTTAGTATGGTTGCAGGCTGACCAGTCCGATGGAAGAAATAGTAAATAATATTTTTCTGTTGATCTTGTCTGTTTTGCTCAGCTGAAAGTAATCAGTGGTTTGCATTTGGTACTACGCAACACTGAAACTTTCTAACTTAAATGGTGCTGTGGACAACTTTTAAGGTAATCACCAGCATAAATAGAAGGATGGGAATGATAATTGTAGCCATTTGATGTAGCCTCATCCCAAGAGGAGCTGCTTGGTGCAGCTGTTGCAGATGACAGTGGCTTACAGGCTCACTTCTGGTGACTGGACTTGTTACTCTCTTCCTGAGACACTACTGTCAAGGAGCAAGAGAGTGATAGAAAAGTTGGCTATGCCAGAGGTAATCCTGTGCTGTCCATTGGTCTGCTTAAGTCCTCTTTGCGGGCTCTTAAATGATATTGCGATTGCTTTTACTCCAGTTCAACCAGTAAGCAGATCATCAGCTGTTACAGGTTGCCCGTTGCATCAGACTATTGCTTATGTCAGCCTCCATAAACCTCAGGCTAAGTTTTTTGTGTTTTTCCTTGTCTTACATATGTGATTGAATTATGGCTATCATCTCCTCCTCCTGTTGAATGCAGAGGTAGAGGGTGGTGCATGTGATACGCCACAACCTTACTGCCGTTCTGCTGGTGATGGGATGCATGGTCCTCTGCTGATGGGAGTCTGTGCTGTGATCTTATCGGAGAGCAGGACTTTGAGTTTTGATGTAAAAACACATCTCTTGGTTTTGCTGCTGGGAGTGGTGTCCTTTGTGATCGGTACAGGCTGTTGTTTTAGTCCTTGACCTGCTGCCGCTTTCAGTCCCTTCACACATACGTCTCCACTCACGTCTTTCATACCAACCTTAACATACCTCTTACAATTTGCCACATTCTTATGATTCTTCTGTCTGCTGGCTCTTTCTGGAAGACAGAGAGCCTTATCTGTAGGCTGTGTGATTGTTTCTAATCATGTGCATGATGCTTGAGTTCCCCATGTTCCCTGTGGGTCAGTGTCATGAAACTTTTAGTAAAGGAATTGAAATTTACAGAGGTCGTATGCATTTGCCGGTATAATATGTTTTACTCTGGAGGCCTATTTTGTTCTTATGCTTACTCAAAAAACGCTACATTTTAATATAGAAATATTTATGTGAATTTTCCTTGTCTGTGTAGTTTTTAAACAAAGTCAAGGAGTCATCACGGTTGGCGTTGGGCAAGGAGCACGCCTCATAACCTTAACTTAATTGTTACTGTCTTTAGAAATGAGATAAGTTTAACACTGAAGTTTTCAGTGCAGCTATTTAAAATTGAGATGCTTTACCTAAATGGAAATATATGCAACTTTAAGACTAATTTGACACCTGTGGTGTAGGCATGAAGAAGGATGAGCTGAAATGGTTATTGCTTTGGAGACGAGCAGTAATATGTTAAAATTTTCACTGCAAATCTAACTGCTTAGTCTGCTTCGTGTAGCTGTTTCTATATAGCAAATTATGTTATCAAAATACATATTTCATAAACTATGAGGTTATACTTCACAACTGCCACCAGAGGCCTCTTTTTAGCCAAGTTAAGCAGCTACTTTGACTTTGCATTGCTCCTATGAGCATGTTTATGAATATATAGCTGAGTGAAACATAAACAAACATAAATAAATATAATGAACATCAATAAGAATTGCTGCCTAATTTTCCTGGTATTTTATTTGCATTTTTAAGATTTTGAGATTATGTTCAGGTTAGCATTTGCCATCTGCATGAGAAGGAGATGAAGGTGCACCTGCCTCGAGCAGACTGCCATGGGCTTTGAATGAATCCCAGCAGTAATAGAAACCTTCTCTTCAGTGCAATTCCTGGGACAGGTAAATGTGTGAACAGGGACAAGATTTTTCTATCGTTAATCTTAAGATGTCTAAGAATGAGTGTGGAAGTTTGAACTAGTTACAGTAGCTCATAGAGCTCTTCTATAGAAAGGATATCTCCTGAGGGTCCTTCATCCCAGCTGTTGCATCAGCCTATTTTGGGATAGATTGCCCTCTGGAAATGTCTTGGTTTA